CCTATTGAACTCAATAGGGTTCAGGGAGTGTGCGAAGAGAGTTCTACTATCAAGTATCGTCTGTAGTCTTTGTATTGCTGCACACGTACTGGAGTTCAGAATATACACACACACACACACACACACACGCAGAGCATTATGTAGAGTAAGGGGGCGAGGGTCTGGGGCAGAACTGCGTAACAGACAGGATTTACAGCCGAACTGGTGGATAACTCGGGGGAGGGGGGTGCCAAACATAAGTATACGTATATAAATACAATGTATACACCTACGTGTGTGTGTATATATATATATATACATAGTAATAGATGAAGAGACACACGCACACACATCTACCCACATACGCACACTGTAGTTGGCGTTCGTTGTGGCCTGGGTTTACGTTTGCTGTCGTGTTAATGTACTGTTACGTGGCTCGTATGCAGTTGTCGGAACCAGGTTCCCGTGCAAGGTTCTCTGAAAGACTTGCCACAATCAAGTTCTTGGCTTGTCTGTAGGACTTGTGATATGCTTGAACAGGGAGCCTCAATAGCCATGACCAAACAAGCACACCTCGCTACTGCATTTGCATGGGGCGATATCTTAACCAGTCTGCCGCCCCGACAGCAATCCAACCTACGAGCTGTCACTAGCTGACCAGCTAATGGTCCAACAGCCAACCGGCTACCAGAAACAGCTCAGGAATTAGCCAACACTATGTGTTTCGATTGAGGTTATGTGGACTCTTGTTGTTGTTTGCTTGTCAGAGCACTTGGATGTTACCCTGAGGACTGCTGTTTCGGTGCATCTTAGATTCAGTTCAATTCAGGTATCTCAAGTCAAGCTAGAAGTGCCCATACGGCACGATTGAAGCAACTACTCGTGGTACGTCTCATACAGCTCTCCAAGTAGAAGTGTTTTGAAGCATGTAAAGAATGCGATTCTCTTGGCCTACCCTGCAAGCAGGCATTCAGAGTAAACAAACGTCTGGGGCCTGTTCAATCGTTGCTACAAGATGCCAACTCCATGAACCCGGGCCCAAACCTCTAAACCCAATGCTCATACCTTCATCTATCTTCATCTGAAAGCCTCTGTGGACCCTAAGCCTCTTCATGAGCGTGTAGCCCTAAGCCCAGCTCCTGAACCCTAAACCCCGCGTTCAAACCCCGAGCCTCTATCCTAGGCACGACAACTGCCCAAGCCTGGACGAGGTGGAGTCGGGGCTTGGCTTCAAAGTTCGAGCGTTCAGTTGCAAGGGTTTAGGGTCTGTGGTGTTTAAGTCAGTGCTTCGATCATGGTCTGCCGGAACCATGTTCCAGATTCTTGGAGAAATGTGCTCAACGCACTGGAATGCTACCAGCTGCTCTTCAACACACTAAGTTTAAGGCGGAAAATACTTGAAGGTGAAGGTCCATACAGGCAACTTGACCAGATATCTGTGAGATTGCGAGTCGACTGGTGTTGAGGAAAGATTCAGAGAGAGTCGTGAATTCTGCTTTGGGCTTGGAGTCTTCCTTGAACTACTGGCCTTGTGGAGCCTTCCCTGAGTATCTGCCAGTATCCAGCTTCTTGCTGGCTGTAGGAACCGCAGATTACGGAGATATGTTGGAATGCCGAGCTTCCTTACCCGAAGCGATAATGATGATACCCTATATGGGCAGGTCTCTAAATTAGGGTCTCCTTTTAGGTACCAAATATAGTACGGCACCCTTATAAAAAGGACCTCAAAAGGGACCCTGAACTACCCATATTCCTGCACGATCATGACTACGTATCGCACGTGTTTGCAGGTCTGCGAGCTGAGGGAGCAGAATGCCGAGTCAGCCAGGGCCCCAGACTGTCGCTCATTTTCGACACGGTTTAGGGATTTGGGGTTTAGATTTCGGGGTTTAGGGTTTAGGGTTCAGGGTTTAGGGTTTAGGGTTTTGGGGTTTAGATTTAGGGGACTAGGGTTCAGTGTTTAGGGTCTAGGGTTTATGATTTGAAAGAGAGGCAACTATGATCTGCAACAGCCTTCACGCGACTGTCTGCATAGAAGCCAGCCAAGCAAACCGCTACATCCTGTGTACATTGTTTCCACACATCTTCGTATAGTATGCATGCACGGTGTGGACATATTTTAGTGTCTGGTTGCATGCATGTGGTTACATAAGTTATGTATGCAAACATTCATGCACTTGCGAGCACGAGACATCAACATGAGTACATTGATGTGTATATAGCACTAATAGTACTAGCAAGACGCAGTAGTGGCAGTAGTGGTCACGATAACAACCATAGCAACCAACAGCGGAAGAGTAATCCACATGAGAACCCTAACCCTAAACCCTAAACCATTCCCTGCCTTTCCATCAGGAAAGGATCATTCACTCCTGGCGTGAGAACAAGGTGAGCCCGTCCAAAGCCGAAGCAGCATGAATAAATGGGTTGAGGGTTTAGGGTTTAGGGTTTAGGGAATAAATGGATTTCTGGCATGGGGTGGGGGAGGGGGGCTTGTCCTTCGCACGCCACACACATCCTACTGTTGAGGGTGTAAATTAGGGATCCGATCAAACAATTCTGCTGCAACGTAATTCTTGTGTTTTCGGTTTGTTTGATCACGCTTGTTGTTGGTCTTTGCTCCGGATGTGTTTGCTTGTGTTCCGGTGGGTGATGGTGAGCTTGGAGTGGGCACTGCTCTAACCGGGACTTTGATCCGAGAAGGTGTTTCGATGGTACGTAACTGTTCGTAGATCACAGTATAGTGTAGGTTTAGGGGATTTAGGGGGTGTCTAGGGGTCAGGGGATCGCGATACGAATTCTCACCAGCAGCACCATCAAGATCTGCACAGAAGAAACTATTAAAAACACCAGTGCCGAGTCTAAGGGCATCAAGCATGTCAAAACTCAACTCATGCTCAAGGAAGCTTCAGAATTCTGCGCCTAACCCTCGACCCGGACCCCAAACATGAGCCCTTTTCCCCGGACCCCGAAGCCCAAAGCCCCAAGCACAACCTCAAACCCTGAACCCTGACATTTACGACTTGGGAAGAGCCTTCTCGAGAGGCGGCCGCTCCGATTCCAAAGCTCTCCTTGAAGCCGGTCTTGGGCAGAAGCAAGGCCGAAAGACGTGGCCCGGGTGGGGGGGGGGCGGGTGGGGGCATGACGTTACGCCCGTTACGCGTCAGTAGTCCGTAGAGAACACTGCTGATCTGTTTGCTGTTGCACATTTATCTGTTCAACCCTTGAGTTAGCGGTTGTTGGACACAAAGGCTTTCGCTCAGCTCGCGCTTTGCAACTCTTCCTCGCTTTCAGAACACAACTATGCTTCTCACCGGAAGCGTGCTCGTAATCGGTCCAAGAAGCAGAGCATTGACATAGATGCTTACGGCTCAGGGGTTTCAGAATATGTCTGCCTGGCTACTGCTCGTGGTAAAGATTAAGGTGGCCATTCACATTTACGAGAAACATGATGCGAGGTGAACCCTGAACCCCCCAAGCCCAGAAGCCGTGCAGAGTTGTCCCAAGACTTCGCAAGTTCGGTCCACCAAACACATACATATATGCATGCGTGATGGTCTTAAGTCTTGTGATCTTGAAGTGGATTTCGGACTCGGTCCGATGACAAAGGTGCCTTGGGAGGACTCGCCGCACCTAGCCAACATGCCCGGCACCTCAGAGCTTCGAACTTGCGACGGCTGCGGTCCCAATGCTTCGGTTCAGGGTGGCAAGACACAGCTTGTCTGCGGCTTCTGAGGACGGAGGGTTGAGGGCCAGTGCTTTAGAGTGCAGCTTAAAAGGGACTTCATGGGGAACTGAGCTGGCTGTTGTTGTGTTGCTCATAGGGACCCAGGCCCAAGCCCCCGCAGGCCCAAATGCCCGAAGCCCACAGCAGAAAGCCCTACTGTTATCCTGAGATCCTGTGAGCCCTTAACCGGAACCCATGCAGTTGTAAAGATTTCCAGGTACCGGCAAACCTGTCGCTCAATAGACTCCAAGTGCTACGTCTCTTGAGGCTTCAACTCTCAGTTCGATTGCCAGGCGGACTCCCGAAACCTACCTATAGTCTCCATTGCAGTTCCTTTTTTTTGGTTTAACCAATTATATATTAAGGAATTTAAAAGGTATCCCAAAAAAGGAACTAATTACAATGGAGACTATAGGTAGACCTAGGTCCCATAACCGTTCCATGGTCCCTAAAATCTTTGAGCCTGTAGGCCTAAAGCAGTACAAGCTCCCCCGCGCCCCTGACGCCCTGCACGCTCCCTTTTTTCAACCCCTAAACCACAGAATCGCAAGGAACACAAGGCCCCAAACCCTCAACGAGCGGTAGCAGAGTGGAGCAGTCGGACAAGAGGAGCTCAACACAGCCCTCAACCCGGTGAACGGAAAGAGGCCCTTCTGAAAGAACAGAAACTAAACACACACCCTAAACCCTTAAGCCCTCAACCCGTTAAGCCCTTAAGCCCTAAACTCCTTAAGCCCTTAAGAACTAAACTCCTTAAGCCCTAAAGCCTCAGCAGCCTCCCAGCACCGAGGCCTTTTGGGCACATCGCGAAGCCCCGCTTCAACCGCTTCCCACCTGATTTGGAGCCTCGAAGTCAGGCGGCTTTCGGTTTTTGTTTAGCTTTTAGATGTTGGGTCTTGAGGGTTTGAAGGTTTAGGGTATCGGTTTTTGCTGGTTCAGGGCTTTGGGTTTTAAGGATTTTGGGGTTTAGGTGTTTTCGGCTTTTACTGCTTTTGGGTGTGTGTGCTTTTTGTGGTTGTTTTTTTTTGCTTTTGGGCTTCATGTTTTGGTTTTGTAGGGTTTCATGCTTTGGGGCTTTAGGATTTAGGGCTTTAGGGTTTTCGATGTTTTTGGGTGCTTGGGCTTCGGGGAGTTTATGGCTTATGACTTTCTTTGGGTGTTAGGGTTAGGGCTTTCGTGTTGAATTTGTTTTGGGGTTTATGGCTTTGGGTGTGTGGGTTTGCCGTTCGCAAGGGGTGTTGTGTTTTTGGCCTTCCTGATTTTGGCGGTTTTGCGGTTTCAGGATTCTGTTTTGAGGTTTCACGGTTTAGGCTTTCAAGGTTGGGGTGTAAGGGGCCTTCAGTTTAGGGTCTAAGGTTTGGCCTTCAGGTTTGTTCGCACGAACTTTGGGCCTTTTTGATTTTGGGGTTGTGGGCAACATTGGCACTGCAAAAGGCTAGGGAAGTCGAAGCCACATCGGTATTATGGTGTAAGGGCACAACAAGGCATCGTGGGGGTGCAGGGCCTTCCCATTCCATGGGGATGTTTGCGGGTGATTTTGGTTTTTGGAGGGTCCAATGGTGGACATGTCGGATCTTGTTCTTCCAGGCTCCATAAATGGAGGGGTTTTTGGTCAAGCAGCCCTTGTCCAAGTTTCCGCTATGGCGAGTAGTGGGCAACTAAGTGCGCTACTACTGTTACTATAGGGGCCTAAATAACTACCAATACTATTCTTAGAGTGTCCTTATGATAATTATAGTAGAATATACCCCAAAACCCTAAACCCTAAACCCTAAACCCACGTGACCCTGTTCGAATTATTGAGGCCCCTACATTACTCGATCATTGGAATCACTTCTTAGCGGCGCTGATGCCGACCGCTGGTGCAACCTCGGCCCTGAACCCCGAGGAACTCCGGTATACTATAGGGGCCTAAATAATTGCCTATACTATTTTGGGGGGTTCCTTATTATAAATATAATTCTAGCATTTACCTTATTTGCTGCAGGCCCGAAGAGCTCAGAGCCCTATAAACTCTAGAAGCCCTTTTAACCCTTAAGCCCTAAACCCTGAGCCAAACCCTATAAATCCTCAAGTTTGGGTTCTGCTGCCTTTCCGGGGCTCAAGCCGCACGCTTGCAGCTCCGGCAGCCCCTTTTCGGGGGTTCTTGTTCGGAAGCTTAGTTTTAGGTCACAAAAAAGCAAGCCAGATTATTTACTATAGGTCCCCATTGTGGTAACTTAGATAGACTCCTTGACAAGAGCCCAGTTTAGAGTTTATCGGGCTCGGGGTTCAGGGTTTTATAAATTTTTTTTAAGGTATATGAAGGGCTTAGGATTTCTTGTATGGGCCTTAATAATAACCTATACTGTTTTGGGGGCTCCGCATTATACTAAAAGTAGAATATATCCCAAAACCCTATTCTAATTATTAAGGCCGGCCCTACATTAGGCATTTGATAGCTGGCTGTTGATGTTGCCAACATGTCTGGTGAGCTCTTGCCTGCTACCGACGCCGTGCTCCGAACGGCCCAGCCCAGCGTCGCAAGTCTCCGGGAGGTGGGAGCTCCTAGGTGCATGGATCTTTAAGCGTTGAAACAAATGCCTGACTACGCCAGTAGTTTCGACACATCAGTTCGAAGGGGCTGGGCATTTTCGATCTTGCTTACATCCGGGGACCCTGATCCATAGCCAGCCTTCAGAGCGTCGTGGTTTCATTCTAGATGTGCAGCTTGGAATCTGTTGCTAGGCCATGCCCAGAGAACCCAATACCCCTTAATCAAGGACTATACCTTAAACCATAATATTAAGGCCCCTATAGTTTAAGGTATATTCCTTAATTAAGGGGTATTGGGTTCTCTGGGTGTCCGGCATTTCGAGGGAACATTCCCCACCACTCGACGACCACGCATTTCAAGCTATGCTGAAGATCCCAACCCAAAACCCCATAGGCCCCTGAAGGCCAAATCATGTAGGGTTTGGGGGCTCCTTACTATAGTTATAGTATAATATGCCCCAAGACCCTATTCTAATTGTTAAGGCCTCCGTATTACCCTAAACCCTTATAGTAGCCCTTATATAGCCCTTCATGGAACCTATGAAACCCTATTCTAACTATGTAAGGCCCCGCATTACCCTCAGCCGAAGCCTCCACCTCAAGCCCACGGTTTAAGGTTCAGGGTTTAGGGTTTAGGGTTTAGGGTGTAGGGTTTACTGTTTAGGGTTTAGGGTTT